AAAAAAACCAAAACAAATTTCCTGAGGAAATTTTTGAAAATATTGTTCATGAGAGCCTGGAATGTTGAGGGAGCATTGGTGAGTCCAAAAGGCATAACTAAGAATTCAAAATGCCCACTGTGTGTCCTGAATGCAGTTTTTGGAATGTCTGATTCACACATCCTTATCTGATGATATCCTGATTTTAAATCTAGTTTTGTGAAATACTGTGTCCCATGTAATTCATCTAGCAATTCATCAATAATTGGAATGGGAAATTTGTCTTTTATTGTGGCTTTGTTGAGTGATCTATAATCAATGCATATCCTCCAACTTCCATCAGATTTTTTAACCATCATTACTGGTGAAGAGAAAGGGCTGTGGCTGGTTCTAATAATCCCTTTTTTGAGCATTTCTTCAATTTGTTTCTCAATCTCTTCTTTCAGGAAGTGTGCATGTCTGTAAGGCCCGATACACACTGGTTTTGTTCCAGCTTCAAGGGGAATTTTGTGATCTATCTCTCTGGTAGGAGGAAGATGTGGTAGTTCCTGAAAGATAACATCAAACTCTTCTACTAATTTGTGCATATCTGCAGGCAACTCCTCCTGATTATCTCTTGTAGTAGACCCCTGCAGGCTAACACTGCACAATTGGATTAAGTACCCCTCTCCCTGCTCCCTAATAGATTTAGCAATTTTCTTCTCATTAACCAACTGTGATTCTCCCGGAACTATTCCTTGTAAAGTTCTTTTAGCCCCATCACACAAAAATGTCACATGTAGTTTTTTTTAAATTTAGAGTGATATCTTTCAATGTTTTCATCCAATCTGCCCCTAGCACAATCTGACTTCCCCCATAGGCATCACTAGCAGATTTACTTGGATGTTCACTCCTTGGCAATCTAATGACACCCCCTGGCATACCCCAGCTCCTTTGATTAATTCTCCACTGGCCAAAAGTACATCAAAGTTGTTATATTCAGTCACTGGCAGTCCAAGCCTCTTAACTAACTTTGCATTGATGAAATTATGTGTAGAACCAGAATCTATCAAGATACTAATAGCCTGATTCTTGTAATACCCCACTACTCTAATGGTGTGAGAAGCTATGATTCCACTCAAAGCTTGTACTGAAATGGAAGGAGCTCCTCTCACCAAACTATCAGCCAACTCAATTGCCAGGTCTTCTTGTTCATTTTTCCCAGAGTCTTCTACCTCCTCCTCAGCACCACCTTCTAAGATTCCTTCCAAGATGAATATCTGCTTCCCCTTACATTATTGCCCTCTGTGCCATTTTTCATCACATGTAAAGCAAAGATTTTGGCTCCTCCTCTTTTGGATGTCTTCAGGTGTCAGTTTCTTGAAATGAGGAGAGGATCTAGTATTTTCTTTTACAAGCACTTCATGAGAGGTACGTGAGGATGGACTTCCTTAGTTAAAGACATTCCAATTTCCTTTACTTCTTTTCTCATTCCTTTTCTTATCCTCAAACAATGTAGCTAAGGATACATCACCCTTCAAAGAAGGTCTGGCAACAACTACCTCATATCTGAGTTCATCTTTCAACCCTCCTATGAATTTTTCCAGTATGTGCCTTCTTGATGGCTGGTCATCTAACATTCCTAAAGCCTGTTAAAAATTTCCCAAATACTCCCTGGCAGTGGAGGTTTGTTTCATGGTGGAGAAGGTATCATAGGGTCTAAGGAGTTCACTGGGTCCAAATCTAGTGATGATTTCTTCCTTGAAGACTTCCCAGTAATTATAATCCTCTAGATTTTTTGCATACCACATATACCACTGCAATGCCTCATCCCTTAGATAGAATGAACAGACTTTCACCCACTCATCATTCTTAATATCATAGTAATCAAAAATTTGCTCAATCTGTTCCAACCAAGATATAACATTCTTGGAACCAGAAAAAGATGGAAAATCCAATCTCAAAGATTTTGGTTGAACTAGTTTTTGATTACTAAAGAAAGAATTCTTTTGAGTCAAGGGATTACCATGGTATGGAGTTTGTTGATCACTTCCCTAAAACTGATCTCTGATTCCCGACCCCAAAAATCCATGATCATTTCTTGTTCCTGAACCAAATATTCCTTGATCATTCCTCACTCTGTTACCATGATATGAGGTTTGTTGACCACTTCCCTGAAATTGATCCCTGATTCCTGACCCCAAAAGTCCATGATCATTTCTTGCTCCTGAACCCAAGATTCTTTGATCATTCCTCACTCCATTATCTGATGATTCAAGAATTATACGATCGTTTCTTGATCCTGAACCCAAAATCCTTTGACCGCTTCTTACTTCAGTGCCTAATTTTTCCTTAGAGTTCTTGAGTTCTTGCAATTAAGAAGATATCTCCTTCAACTGCGCCAAGAATTCTTGATTGATGAGTTTCTGTTGAGTGAAGGATTCATCCACACGAGCCATCTGATTGAAGAGTCCCTGTTGAATGAGAGTCTCCTCCCTGCGATCTCCTTGTTGATTCACCTCATCTCTTGAAGCTATCTCACGATCGCCCATGGATTCAGCTCCCGCCTCCAACTCCAATTGCTCTGATACCAATTGTGAGGATCGCGCTTCCCTATTGATCCTCCTGGTTGTACTCCTAGCCATTACGAGCCTGAAAACAAGGTGGAAGAAGAATTGCAAGATAGAATTGAAAGGAAAGAGAGAGATAGAATGAGAGCTGAAATTGAGTTTGAGAAGAGGAAAGCAATACTATTTCATTCATATTGGATTCTCTTTACATTTCCTCTTTTATACAGCAGCTCAACAGCAAAAGAATCAAAACGTGCACAAAACGTGCACAGACTCAACAACAGAACAAAAAGCAAAATTAACGGTTTGTAACAGATTTGTTACATTTATTACAATTGTCCTTGAGCTTAAAAGATTTGCAAATCAGCCCTTCAAGTCTGGTAAGCTCGAATCCACTTTCAGTGTCCCGTACGCCAGATCCTCCATCGCATTCTGAAGTTCACTTGATAGGTTCTTAGTGTGATCATCTCCCGTACCTGACACTCCACCTTTTATAGTGGCCAAACTGATAATCTCCACCCCCTCAAAACTGTCCCTGAGAGATTTTCTCTCAACAACTCACTTCCCACGATTTTCTCTACTGAGAATAGTTAATTTGGTCACACGAGACCGAGTCTAAGTTACATCTATCATATATGTTTGTATCATAGAAGTCGGGAACTTTGGACGCTATAATGAACCATGACTCGGGTTCAATCATCCCAAATTCATGTGAGGTAGGACTCGATTCACCAAATCCAGCGGCTTGATTTAGAATTTAAACCAGTTAATTTTTTTTTTAAAAATAACTCTTTTTTAAAAGAATAAACAATAAAAATGTGAGAAATTAAGAAAATAAAATATGCATACCATATTGCAACATGATACTCAAGGTTCTTTTACCATTAATGATATCAACTAGCATATTTCTTAAATTTTACTCTTACAAAACCACTAATTCTTATGTTTAAGAACCGAACCTAAAGCGTACCACGTATCATAGCGCATCGTCTAAGCTTAAACCATCATACCCTCTTCACAATGAGTGGCGTACTACGCTCCTGTACCCGTCCATGAACCGGAACGAATTGATTCCATGCAACTATGGTTTGTATCTCTCAAAAAGATAGCATGCGAAACTTAAGACTGTCTTTACTCCAACTATGGCTTCCTGGTTTTCTCATGACATTTCAAATAGAAGCTGTTAAATGTGGTGAGAAAAAAAATATAACTTTCAAGGTGTTTATTAATGTTGATCTCAAGATGATAAAATGATATCGTCTTGAGTGCAAATTTGCAGTGTTAAGAAAGCTCACTGTACATGACCATGTCTGACATCAAAGTTGCCTTTCAAAATCTCAGCTATAAATACCCATTATCTCCAGCAACTAGAAGTAAAAATTTCAAGTCTATTGGTTTTAGAATTTTAGAATTTATATTTTATTTGAATATATATTTTATTTGAATATGCATTGAATTTATAATACAAATGTGACTATGAATTGTGTTTTCTGATCTCTGATACTGATGTCATACATTAATCCTTATCATATTTTGTGATTAAGTAATCTTATAGTTTCTCAAGTACGTGTGTTGGACTGTAAAAGTTATCCATTTAATATAATTGATTATTTTTATTACAAAGAAAATTAGGTTTCATACAATATAAGTATGTCTAATTTATTTTGCATTTAAGTTTAGAAACTTAGCAAAAGTAGAGAAAACATGCATTTTAGCATAAATACATTCAATTGGAACTTAACAATAATTCTTTGAATGCTGATAGATTTTCAAGCTGCTGGAGCGGTCAGAAGAGAGGACAGAGGTGTGGAGAGTATGGTGATTCAGCTAGAATGAGTTACAAATGGTTCAGTAGTGATGTTTTTTGTTTTTTATCCTTTAGAACTCTGTTCCATTATGAACTGCTCTGCTTTTGGTTTTTGTTAGATCTTATTATGATCTTTCTCTTGTTGGAAATCCATGATTATGTACAGAGGGGTGTTGTTTTTCATTCTCTGTAGCTTCTGATATGGACTATAATACTCACTCTTGGTTGGGGGTGTGTATTTTTATGTAACAACCATTTCTGATTAATTTAGCTGGCTGGATTACCTTTGTGGTAGTCCAACCTTTTTCTAAAAAAAAACAATAATTCTTTGAATTGAGAACGATGCTGAAATTAAGAAAGACAACAAAAAGTGTTATCACAGAAGCGCAAGCGATGCATGAAAATTTGTACACATAAAACGAACCAAAAGATTAATACTAGCCCGTGCTTTGCACGGGTTAAATACTAGTTTCAAATAGAAAGAAGAGAAGTGACCCTACTGTTAAATGTGGTGAGAAAAAAATATAACTTGCAAGGTGTTTATTAATGTTGATCTCAAGATGATAAAATGATATCGTCTTGAGTGCAAATTTGCAGTGTTACAAGGTGTTTATTAATGTTGATCTCAAGATGATAAAATGATATCGTCTTGAGTGCAAATTTGCAGTGTTAAGAAAGCTCACTGTACATGACCATGTCTGACATCAAAGTTGCCTTTCAAAATCTCAGCTATAAATACCCATTATCTCCAGCAACTAGAAGTAAAAATTTCAAGTCTATTGGGAACTCGATGGCATTAATGGAAAGGTCAGGCGATCGGTCTGTCGACTGTTCGGTTCACATTGAGTCGGCGGAGGAGGAAGGGGTTTGTGTGACATGGGAGGATCTATCGGTGACCGCATTCGACGGCAACAGATCGTCCCGTAAGATCCTGTCAGGCTTGACAGGGTTTGCTCGGCCCGGTCAGGTTTTGGCTATCATGGGTCCGTCCGGCTGTGGCAAGTCAACACTTCTTGATGCTCTCGCTGGTATGAATTCTGAATGCAGCAGCAGTTTTCCTAATTTTAAGCTATTCTGCTTTTGCAATAATAGTTGGTGTTTTGATAACATTCTATTAGCCCCGTGCACTGAAATTTGGACGTAGTTGGAACATCATGGAGCTTCAACTCCTCTCCAAATACAACCTTAATATTAGAAGGACAATTTGCTTAACCATATAGCAGCAGCCTTCTGGATTCTCATTGTTTTTTCTAGGCGTGAGGCTACTTTTGCAGATTTTTTATGTGTGAGGGTATTTTTATTCAGATAAGAGGGCTTTTTCGAAATTCTAAAAATAAGGCTCCCAAAAGTTGAAAGGGCTTCCTTTAAATAATAGTGCAGGTAATCGTCAAGTAATTTTTAGACTGAGAGATTGATTTTGATATAACTAGTGCTGTTATTCCTTATAAATGACACGAGTTTTCACTTAATTGATGTCATTAATTAATAGACATTTAAGATTGAAGAAATGGTCTTACTGTTGAACGATATCATTACAGTAATTGGTCAGACAAAGCCACTTCAATTTATCAAGAATCTATAATACTCATGAATATAAAGCATATCAACTTTTTCCTTCCCTTAATTTCGAGTAATTCAATTTATATACTGTAGAAAATAACTATATCAACCTTTGCCACCCCTTAATTGGTCAATTATGCAGTATTATGCTGAAACTGCAAGGTTTTGTATCAGATTTTGTAAGTGATCTTTAATGGTTAATTCTCTACCAGGGAGGCTAGGATCAAACGCAAAGCAATCTGGAAATATTTTAGTGAATGGTCGTAAGCAAACTCTATCCTTCGGAACATCAGTAAGAACATCTACGCTATAAAATCTCAATTATAGTTTTGTTTATAATCAGTGACTCTTTGTACTTGAAAGTTGTAACACTTTTCTCTGTTTGTGCAGGCTTATGTCACTCAAAATGATATCCTAATGACAACATTGACGGTTAAAGAAGCTGTATACTACTCTGCGGAACTCCAACTCCCTAATTCTATGTCAAAGTCCGAGAAAAGACAAAGAGCAGAGGTAACTATAAAGGAAATGGGATTGCAAGATGCAGTGAATACAAGCATTGGAGGGGTACATTCAAAAGGAATCAGTGGTGGCCAAAGGAGAAGAGTTAGCATTTGCATTGAAATCTTGACTCGTCCGAAGCTTCTATTTTTGGATGAGCCAACTAGTGGCCTAGATAGCGCTGCATCATTTCATGTAATGAATAGGATTGCCAACTTAGCGAAGTTTGATGATATGAACACTATTGCATCAATTCATCAGCCTAGCAGTGAAGTTTTTGAGCTGTTTGATAACTTGTGCCTTTTATCTTCCGGCATAACTGTTTATTTTGGACCTAGAACTATGGCCAATGAGGTAAGTCTAGTTCCGTTTGAGTTTATTACGTGTTGAGAATAATGATCGTTATTGCTGATTTCATGTTTTTATTGAGAGTATTATAGCTTTTTTTTTATGATATGGTATTTTTTAAAGTTCATTGTGATTCACAATCTACAATCTTCTCACGGTAGCAAAATTATATACCTGTAAAATGGAGGTTTAATTTTTCCTACGAATAGATCACATCTAAGATTACCTATCAAAGTCCATACAGCAAGCATTTGATTGGAAAATTTGTTGAATCTTCTGAAGGATACAATCATCAAATTTTATCAGGAATGAAATACAGCTTTCAAATGTTGTACATGTGCTACATAATACAGGAAAAGAGAACTCTCAAATTATGGATTGTACTTCAATATATATTCTTTTTACCACAAGATCATACAGATTGTCAAATACTTGGCAAGAAGTAACACTGCAAGTAGCTCAGATCATCAAAACGGTAAGCTAGTATTTGTTAACCTGTCATGTTGCTAGTCAATCATTTTTCTCTTTCCGCCTCTACTTATTTACTGGATAATTAAGTAAAAATCCCGTGACTGAGCGGTTGATGACTATTTTGCAGGAAGGAGACCTTGTAAAAAAAGGGAATCAAGCTAGTTTCATTTCTCAATGTACCGTCCTCACAAAGAGATCATTTGTCAATATGTACAGAGATCTTGGCTACTACTGGCTGCGCCTTGCAATTTATGCTGCGTTGTGTCTGAGCATTGGTACAATGTTCCATAACATTGGACATGATTATGGCTCAATTCAGGTAGGAAGTAAAAAAACAGTCTTTCTATGCGTAATTAAACTCACAAATATAAATTACTTGACGAACTTGTATTTACTAATAATTTTCAGGCCAGAGGATGTAATTAAACTCACAAATATAAATTACTTGACGAACTTGTATTTACTAATAATTTTCAGGCCAGAGGATCGGCTCTCATGTTTGTAGCTGGATTCTTGACTTTTATGGGAATTAGCGGATTTCCTTCATTTGTGGAAGAGATGAAGGTCAGTTATTGAAATTTTATTGCATCAGCACTGTAGTTTTAGTACTGTACTTGAAAGAAAGTAACATAAATATTAGCAAACCTTTTCAAGTAGTAGTGAGTTTAGAAAGGTGATATTAGAAAGCTTCCAGGAACAAAACTTTATTCTTTTATTTTCACTTCTCCAATGACATTCTGATATTCTTGAATAGGATAGTTACTGAAATAGAAATCAAGATACGAGAGCTCAATCAAAGATTCACATTGCTTCAATAATCTTAAACCCTATATACAACATTGATTACAGTTCTTGTTAATGTCTAAGATCTTTTATTCCATTCTGTCAATGTTTAATATATTTCCTCGTTCTATTTTGTCAATGTTTAAGGATTTTATGAGCTCAAAGTCAGATCAGCCTTTGACATTTACCTCACATTCCTATGAAGCACTCGACCAAATATATTTACCCAATATGCCCTTACAAATAATATTTCCCGTCAATCGAGTTCCACATGATAGTTTTCCACCAGAAGTATTACCAAATTATCTCAACAGAATAGTCTTTTAGAAATGTATACGATAGAGAACTGCCCTGGAGACTCAATATATTGAAATAAAATAGCTAGAGGGCTTAATGGGTTAAAATATCAGGTTAGCTTCTTCTTTGAAATGTTTGGTAAACATCATGAGCTGATCTGACTTCAAGTTCAAGATTTTACTTAGTCCGTTCCGTTAATGTTTCAAATATTTTCATATTCCACTCTGTCAATATTTCAGATATTTCACCAAGAAAGACTAAATGGGCACTACGGAGTAACTGCATTCGTCATCAGCAGCACACTCTCTTCCGCTCCTTACCTCTTCCTTGTCTCTGTAGTCCCTGCATCCTTGGCCTACTATCTTATCGGTCTCCAACCAGGCTTTGATCACTTTGCCTGCTTCTGTCTAATTCTATACATGTGCATGTTATTAGTCGAGGGTCTAATGATGGTCATCGCAAGTATCGTGCCTAATTATCTCATGGGGATAATCGCTGGCTCAGGTGTCCAGGGTCTTATGATGCTTTGTGGAGGATTTTTCAGGCTACGTAATGATATACCAAAGCCTATATGGAGATATCCAATGTACTATATGTCATTTCATAAGTATGCAAATCAAGGGTATTATAAGAACGAGTTTATTGGGCTAAGTTTTGAAAAGAAAGAGGGTGAAGACGTGCATAATATTGTAACTGGGGAAGAAATTGTCAGGGATCTTTGGGAGATGGAGGTTGGTTACTCTAAGTGGGTTGATCTTGGGATTTTGATGGGGATGGTGATTTTGTACAGGGTGTTGTTTTTGGTTATTGTGAAGGTAAGTGAGAAGATGAAACCCGCGTTGAGGTAGGTAAAATTTGTCTGTGTAAAATAAACAAGGGGCTGTTTGGCCACTGGATTTGTATTTTGAATTTATGACAATGTAAGAGCATCTCCAACAGCTTTCCCATTTCCCATTTTTAGAGAATATAGTTAGGTTTTTGGTCCAACAGATTTCTCATCTCATTCCCCAAAATAGGGATGGAGGAGAAAAAATGGGGAAGCTTCCCCAAATCTGCAGCATTCTCTAAATTTTTGGAGGAAAAAAGGGATTCTTTAAAATGAAGAAGCTGTTGGAGTTGGTGTAAAAATAATTTCGAGAATATGACTTTTGCTTCCCCATTTTGGAGAAAATTTTAGAGAAGCTGTTGGAGATGTCCTAAGAAGTCCAATGAATTCTTAGCAATCCAAAATTTTAAATTAGTATTTGGCTTGTTAAAATAGTGGAATAAATAGTATGTTTTGGGAAGAGAATCCAAATATTATTGTTTGTTTATAACGAAAATGATATATTTGAAAAGTGGTACCAGGGACCCACTTATGATTAATGTTTACATTTAAAGGTTTTTTTTCCATATATATCCTCCAAATCATAGCTATCTTTAAATTGCTCCTCAAATCATTGTACTTTTAAAACTGCCCTTCAAATCAATTTTTTCTTTTAAGTTTGCTCTCCAGTTTAAATGACGCTGAATCTACATGGAATATTCTGTTAAATTCATTAATATTTTTATTAAAAAAATATCTAAATCACCACTTTAATAAATAATTTATGTTAAGCATTTGTCTATCCTATAGTTTTCACTTCCACAATATAACATCCACTTGCGTCAGGCTTTCCCTGGAAATGCCCGGCCCGCAACAAAATATTGCTGCTTTCTCATCCTTGAATAATATTCTACTTAAAAAATTTAATTGGCCATTGCAGTAGGAGAATTTGTGTATTGAAATATGACCAAATATAATAACCTTACTATATAAAATAAATAAATCATACTTCATACTCTCTTTAAAAGCATGAGTTCGGAAAATCTTTTTTAGACAAATATACCCCTTTATAGTTTGAACTACCTTATCTATAATCAAATCCTAATTTTCAATGGTCAATATTACCCTTCACTATTTTGAATATTTTATTTATATCTTAATCTATCCTAATCATAGTCATATCTTATCCTAATCCTATGTGAACCATGTTTAACTTAACAATTTAAAAAAACTAATATTAATAAAATATATAAAATATAAAAATGATATTAGTTTGTTAAGATAAAAAAATTACAAGTAGATAACATATTATAATACATGAAGTATTGCAAAAAAACCATAAAAAGTTTTAAAATTGCAGAAAAGACCCTGAGAAATTCAAAATTATAAAACTCATCCAAATGTCTCAAAACTTAAAATAAAAAACATGAAATTAAAAAATTAACATCAGTTTGCAAAGAATTTAAAATTTACATTTAACACCTCAATGTCTCAAAAATTATAAAAACATCCTCAAAAGTTTAAATTACAAACAAGCACATTAAAATTCTAAAATTTTAAAACTTACAAACAACACAGATGAATTCAAGAGATTACCTTGATACACCTAAAATTTTTGACATTTAAATTTAAATTTTTTAATTAACACCCTCAATATCTTAAAATTTATAGAAACACCTTCAAAAGTTCAAAAAAAGTTTAAAAATTATAGAAAAGACCCTGAAAAGTTCAAAATTATAAAACTCATCCAAATGTCTCAAAACTTAAAATAAAAAACATGAAATTAAAAAATTAACATCAGTTTGCAAAGAATTTAAAATTTACAGTTAACACCTCAATGTCTCAAAAATTATAGAAACACCCTCAAAAGTTTAAATTACAGACAAACACATTAAAATTGTAAAATTTTAAAACTTATAAATAACACTGATGAATGATAGGGCAAATCCGCAAGCGCACGGACTCGTTGTAGCTATCAAGGTCGATCCCACAAGGACTAGTCAAATTAAAAAAAGCCACCCTAAAATTCTAAAATTTGTAAATAAAATAAGATGAATTCAAGATATTAATCTTAGACACCTAAAAAATTAAAATTTGCCAAAATTAACCTCAAAATTTTTAAAAAACTCCTTCAAAATTTAAAAATCGTAAAAACAAACTCTAAATTTTCAAAATTTTTAACTAGCACACATCAAATTTGTCGATTGGTAGACCGCTGAAATTTAATATTTTTCAAAATTAATCTATAGTTTTAATAATTACAAAAGACACCCTCAAAAATTTAGAGTTATAAGAAATATACTAACATTTAAAAAATTACCACCAACACATAAAACATAGAATTTATAACTACCAAACTTAAAAGTAATTTTTTTAAAAAACTCTTTCAAAATTTTAAAAATTATAAATCACACCCTCAAAGTTCAAAACCACAAAAATGGGCTAAATTTTTAAAACTTGGCAAAGAAAAGTGTAATTGTTTGGTATTTTTCATATATATTAAAAATATTATAGATTAAAAATTATCGGCACTATATAAATTAAAGTAATTTCATATAATTTTAGTAATAAGTTGGGGTAGCCAAAATACATTCGTAACATTAATTGATAGATGTTTAAATCCATAGAAATGATAAAACACTATAATATTATACCTTAGCATTAATTGATTTTAATTTAGAAACTTTAATCTTTGACGTTAATAATATTTATAGGGTAAAAGAATACAAGGAATTACATATGGAGAAACTATTAGAATATTTAGAGATAACTTTAAAAGAATTGAGTTATTTCCATTGCAAATGGGAAAGTGATGGAAATAAATCTAAAATTCAGAAAACGTCAATGAATCACTTGAATTGGCATTAACATAAGACATATCTATTAATGAAGCACTGAATGAGTTACATTAAAAAATAATTTAATAACTTTATCCTAATCAAAGAAAAAATCTCCATGGAAGACATAAGAAAAATTAGTAAGTATTCATAAATTCCATACTGTGTTCTTCAAATTAAATATTAATATTATAATCTAAGAGAAATTGGTAATGAATAATGCAGGTATTTAGTTTAGATCTTTATGGAAAATGACAGGGATAGAGCAAAGGTAATATTATTGAAATAACAGAAATTCTTATTGGATGCACATCAGAAGAATTCATTTTAGAGGAAAATAAAGAGATAGCTTCTAATTTATTTAAGTAATAAATTAGGAACACAAAGAATTTTATATATATGAAATTAATATTTATTCTCATTGAAATAGAAAAAAAATCAAAGTCTATATTTTGAGCAGTTTGTGTTGAACATCATAAGTACATTTGACTTCTTTGTAAAGTTAAATGAGATGATAAAAAATTAACGAGCCTAGGAAAGATAATAGCATAAAAAATACAAAATTAGCCTGATGTCACAATTGATGTAGATGATGAAGACAATACTCTAGAATTGTCCGAGAAATGATAAATGATAAACTTGAAGAAGGATTGATCTTAACTCAATAAAAAATAAAATAGAAGAAATAAAAATAATATTTTATGAATATTTTATAGAATAGTTTAATTATTTTGAGTGAAATTAGGAATCTTTAGAAGGGAGTTTCATGAATTTTTTTAGTACTTTTATATTCTTATGTGGATGTTTTTATCATATAAAAGTATACTAGAGTTAGCATTAATCTTTAATTTATATTTTTTATGAAGTCTATCAATGATTAGGAATAAACTTCATATTCTCTTTTGCATCGTTTTAACATACTTTAAATCAATCATTTTGCCATATTGTTTTTAAATATTCACCTTCCTTGTATAACACTATTTTAATATTTTTCACTTTGCAATGCTATACTTTCTCAAATAAAGCTTAGTTTCATATCGGTCAAAAATAATATGAAAATTCAAATTATTTTTAAATTATATTTGTTTTTTGTCAATTCAAATATCAACATGAAAATTTAAATTGGGTGTATCCCATTTAAACAAACTGCCAAAAATACTTAATCATGGTATTAAATCACGTGCATTGCACGTGTGTAAAAACTAGTAAATATATAAAAACACCAGATTAATAAAAGTATAAGTTTTGATTTTTCAAAATTTTTAATAAATTTAAAATAAATTTAAAAGTTTTGATCTTTTAATGACATGTTGGGTTTTGATTTCTAATAGATTGGATTCCAAAAGTATACAAGGAATATTTTTTTTTTGTTGATCTTGAGAAGATTCATAGAAAATAAGAATGCAGAGGTAATTTTGCTCTAGAAAGTATTAAAATAAAATATTTAAGGGACGTTAATGCTAAGGATACTTTTGGTGAAAGAAAGCAATTTGAGGGGTAATGTTGAAATTGTAACGATTTGGAAAGCAACTTTAAAAATAACTCAAGATTGAGATGCATATATGGAAAGAACCCTAAAAATTTAAAAGAAAGGCTTTTTTTTCAATATATTCCCCTTAAAGTATGGGTATTTTTAAATATGTCCCTCAAGTTATTGTAATTTTGAAATTATCTCTCAGATTGTTTCTTTTATCCAATTTTACCCCTATACATGATCCATGTTAAATTTTTGAACGTTTTAAAGTTAAATTTACCTTTAGACCTTATTTTAAATCTTCTAATAAAATAATTTCAGCAAAAACTCATTACAAAACAAAACCCAACCCATTATTTAAAAAAACCCATATTGTTTCTCTTCTTCTCGGGATGAATCAATAGCAATTCCTAAGTTACTGGTGATATTGGGCGTAATCTGAGTTGCTACATGTTTAGTTATATCAACTGTATTAATGAACTCAATCATACGAATTCTGGTTTTTTTATATGTGATAGGCAATTGTGTATCAAATGCATCAAATAGATTCATTGTGTCGTGTAACGGGGTTAAACGATTCACTATGTCGTGTGATGGAGTTAAACTATGTGGAGTAATGAGACTTTGCCACCGATGGGGCTTTCACCAAGATTGGTTCGTACCGGCACATAGGGTAGGAGGGAGGTTACATGCGAGAACAAAGAAAATGCCACTAGAGAGAAACACAACGTAATTTTTTTTATAACGGGTTGGACTTTACATTGTAACAAGGTGAACCGTTTTTTCCCTTAAATTATTTTATTAAAATATTTAAAACAAGGACATAGAGTTAATTCTAAATTTAAAAAATGTTAAATTCTAGCATAATTAATTATATAGAGCTGAAGTTGAGTAAAATAAATAATTAGAGGGGTAAATTTAGAATTGTAATGATTTGAGGGGCAAATTTAGAAACACTTATAACTTGAAGGATATATATGAAAAAAACCCTTAAAACAATTTAAAAACTTTCTAAAAATGCATTAATATATTCTGTGTGATAAGTACAAAACAGACATTTGTGGGTCTCATGAATCACTTTCCAATGGGCTAAATACCCATATTGGTATTTTATTTCAACCTCATTTGCCAAGAAGGTATTTTAATTAAAAAAATCGGCGTTAAGGCATTTTAATTGAATAAAATTACCAATTAGGTCTTTTTCCTCGTCGGCGACCACTTTTTCGGCGAGAACTCATCACGTGCGTTGCACGCGGTGGCTTAATCTGTGTTTAAGCTGCTGATGTGGCACTGTTTTCTGACCAACGCGGATCTTAGCTGGGACTCGGGGTGAACTCGGCGACGGCGGGGAGTTCTTTGAGCGGAGCTTAGAGCGGCAGCATAGCGTCGGTGGTCTCCGACGGGGAAGAGAGGACGGTGACGACTGACGGTGGTAAGAGGTGGTCGGGTCTCAAGTTGAGGGCGAAGGGAAGCTCAGAGTTGGGCTGGTCGGCGGGAACTTGAGCAGCAACAAGTTCGGCGTGGGGAAGCTCGACAAAGAGAGGAAGAGGGAGGGTCTGGGGGATGAAGGCGGGGAGTGGAGGGAAGAGGAGGAGATGGAGGTGTTGAAGTCGGGCTCGCCGTGGACAGAAGGGGGAGGAGAATGGAATTGCTATCGTCAGAGCTCGGTGATGGTGAAGGAGGCAGCGGGACAAGGGAGAGTGGCGAGGTGGAGGGGCTGGCCTGAGATGGTCGTGGGGCTGGTCTGCAAGCATGGAAGGGGGATGGGGTGGAGGCGGTGATGGCGGGTGTGGGGCTCGTCGGGGTTGACGACGAGGGAGAGAGGCGCTGGCTGTTGGAGACGAGAAGGAAGGCAGCGGCGGTTGGATCTGGAGCTTGGTGACGGAGCTTGGGTGGCTGGGGCAGAGGGGGTCGCCGGAAAAGTGGTCGCCGATGAGGAAAAAGACCTAATTGGTAATTTTATTCAATTAAAATGCCTTAACGCCGATTTTTTTAATTAAAATACCTTCTTAGCAAATGGGGTTGAAATAAAATACCAATATGGGTATTTAGCCCTTTCCAATGTTTTCAAACAAAAGACAGTTATCGGATTATGTGTTCAAATTTAATTTTTCATCCCACTATCCTACAAATCAAACACAAAGGAAATAAATTAGGCTGTTGAGGATTTCCTCAGTTTTATCATGAAATCGAAATGCAGATTCTAGAGCCGGAACAACCCCTAATAAAGCTTATTTTTATGGAATATCTGCGAGCTAGCCTTATTACTTTAGAACTTTTCTCAAAAAATTTATTAATTTAAAAACGTGTCCAAAACCTCTTTGAGTCTTTGTCAAAAGATCCGACCCGAAAACATACCCCTAACTCCAAAATACGCTACGCGTTTTAAAGTCAGCGTGGACCCCACGCTAAGCATCCGCCGTCCAAATAATAGATCTCTAATTTCGTCCGTTCATTACCATTTAAACCTGTTTTGAAACCCGACCCGGTTCGATGTATCGCAGCGTCATTCCTACGCTACGCTGTATTCCCATTGTATAAAATAATAAATCCCTCTCTTTTTACCTCAGTCGAGAGAAAAATAAAAAAGTTTACAGGAAGAAAGAGCGAAGCCCAAAAAATGAAGTGAAAACTTCGGTAAATTCTTCTCTCATCTTCTATTTTCTTTAGGGTTTTGGTTTAAATTCCTAGGGTTTAAGCAATTGATTTGCTACTTTTCCTGAATCTTGTCTAATTTCCTGCGATTCTGTTCCCTTTGCCCTGAAAAGAAATGTGAACTCTAAAAAGTCTTGGGCTGTATAATGTATTATGTTCTTTGAAATTTCTAGGGTTTAAGCAAAGCCTTTGCTTTTTTCCCTGAATATCCTCTAATAGGTCTCGATATTGTTCTTATTATCCACAGAGACTTGAGTTTACAGAAAATAATGACGCTTTGAGAGAGTGGAAAATGCGAACCCTGCCAAGTCTTATGAGGTATATTTATCCTGTCCGTTGAAGTTTCTAGGGTTTAAGCAATGCCTTTGTTCTTTTCCTTGATTATTGTCTAATTTGTTGCTATTTTGTTCTTATTATCCCTAGAGGGCTGAGTTTACAGAAATAAATGGTGCTTTCGTGGATCGGCACAGCAGTAGTGTGAACATAACAAGTCTTATGAGGTATGTTTTGGGTTTTTAGTAATTGTGGCGCCTACGATAAGGGTTTCCTTAAAAGATGTAGACTTGAAAGTTTATTATACGTTGAATAAGCTTCGTAGTGCTGAAAGAAGAATTTTGCCTTGTTATTTTGGTGAAATGCGAATAATAGATGTACGCACTTAGCGTTTCTTAATAATTTCTGTTTGTTTTCTTGATTTTGTGGGCTATGAAAACCATTTATCTTAAGCAAGATTATAAAGCATATTTATTATTATTATTATTATTATTTTGGATTTTAGTAGAATCATTCTGAAAAGAATATTGTATTTTCTTAGATATGCAATATACTGTACAAGGCTAGTCTGATATTTTAGTATTTTTTGCATAGAACAATGTATGACAGGATACATTCTAGAAATCCTAATGCACATACGTAAATTCCATCTAAGAGAATTGTGAGGCATGCATATGGTTTCTATTTTCCATGTAGCGTTTGAATTTGCATTAAGATAATTTACTAGTTGAGAGACTGAGCAGTACGTTTACCTTTGTGGCACATCATTCTTTTGTGTATGTTACGTTATTGCGGTTAACTGATGTTTTCTTTGTTGTTTTTGATGCAGATGTAACCTGGACCTAGTGACTCTGTCTCTAGCCTTGTCCTAATGCAAATTACTTGGTGGCCACTACCTGGGATAATCAGGTTTGCTTGGTAATGTATATATCCTGTAATTATTTTGATAATGTATATATCCTGTCTGGATGTTATGATAGCTCTTATGATTCTGCTTTGAATGATCTGCAGGTTACATGCTGGGATGTCATGCAGAGTCAGGCAAAAAGCATCCTTAGATCCATGATCAACCAGTATTTGTATATGCTTTGCAAGCACCTTATGTTTAGAATTGTTTCAAAATTTTGCATGGAAAATTTGGAAAAATGATTATTGCTGACATTTGATTTGCTATTTCTAAGGTTCTGTGCTCTAGCCTCTACTTGAAGGGATGATGTTCCCATAGTGTTTACTAGAGGATGTGATAAGATTGGGAACTGTGGCTTCCAACTCTGGTGGCCAACTTATGCAAGTTGCTGTGCTTGATGCACCTATTAAAGAAGTTGTTTGGATTGAACAGTTGAATTGCCTAGTTATGGCGAACTGGGATAATACATCGAGGCAAGTGTATATTGAGCTTCCTTTGATTATTATTATGGATTAAGGAACACATTGATTTAGTTATTATCTGATATATGTTTGTTTTTGTGTTCATACATCATTATCGGATACATTCTCAAAATCCTATTGCACATATATGAATTCCATCTGGAAGAATTGTGAGGCACGTTCAACTAAGCTGTGCATTACCTTTGTTAAACACATCATTCTCTTGTGTGTGCAGGCACAACCTGGAGCCAACGACTGTCTCTAGCCTTAGTTTCAGTCCTAATTCAAATTTCTCGGTGGCCACTTCTTGGATAATCAGGTTTCATCTGCTAACATCTCTTAACTGTTTGAGTTCCGTAATAACTTTGAGAACATGTATCTCTTATATGGATAAAATTATAGCTCTTTTTGTTCTCCTTTGATGCAGGTAGCTGCTGGGAGATTATGGCAGGCTGCAGTCCAAGGCGAGGCAGCCAGTATCTTATGACCAACTGGTATGCTTATATGCTTTGCATACAGCTATCTAGAATTGTTTCAAAACCTGTCATGAGAAATTAGGGGGGGAAAGTTATTGCTAACATTTCATTTGGTATCTCTTCAGTTCTGTTCTCTACTTGGAAGGATGATGTTCCACAGCGTTTACTGGTGGATGTTATAAGATTTTTAAAATGCAGCCCTTGATGTCTGGTGGTCAACCTAGACAAGTCGTTGCGCATGATGCACCTGTCAAATAAGTCGCTTGGATTGAACAGTTGCATTTCCTAGTTACAGGGAGCCGGGGTAAGATATTGGGGCAGGTGCAGATTGAGTACTTGATTAATTTTTTCACAAAGCACACTGATTTAGTTATTATTTGATAAATGTGTGTTTTTATTTGCTTAAATAACTCTGTTTATATATGAGTGGTGCTTTATAAATTTTTGGATCAAACAGTAAAAGATTGCTTACTTATCAGAAAATATCTTGGGTCACCTCTGTGGATGATCCTCCACATTAGTTGTTTGACGTGCAGGTGATGGAACAAATATCGGGCAAAACCTTATGTGTTCTGAGCCCTTTGAACTGATTCATCTAATGATCCATATTGTTCTATATTAAGCAACTATTAATACATGTGAACCTTACGAACTTTGTTAGTAGCCTCAAGTTAAGGCATGATGTGGGCAGCTGTCAAATATCTTTTTTATAATGCTGATCAATCATAAACTTGGTCCTTACTGTCTTAATCACACAATATTTTTGACATCTCAATGTTTATCATCCAGAATGTAATCTCTCTCTGAACGACATAAGTTTTATGTTTATTTTTTTATATCAGATGTTATTTTTAGATTGCAGCCTTGTCCAGAACTCTACTTATAGCTATTCCATTAATCTAGTTGATAATCGTGTATTTAATTATGATTCATCTAAAGATCAGTAGCTATTCCATTATTCTATTTTTTTGATACCTCAATGTTTTGTTATTTTATGGGCGTGATTCGTGAATGTAGGTATGAGGGGGAGAGAGTGACAAGAGCTAGATTTTGTATTTCATCTTTGATTTTGGTTTGGTATTGAGTTCGATTGGGATATATAATATTGAGATTATGGTGATAAATAAATGGGTAGTCAGGATGTTAAATGTTCACATCAATGTTTGAAAAAGCTTTTTTGAAACTCGGTTTAAAACTTGCTTCACAACTTATTGAAGGGTAAACGCCTCGAAACTTAAGAGTGAAACTATTTATCCATTGAAGCTTACGCCTCCTTGCTAAAAGCATAATTGATGTGCGCTTCACACTTCATTAAGTGCTTTTATTTTGAAGCACACACTTAAGACTAGATGGTAGGACGTAAAAAGATCTTTGACTAACATTAAAATGCCCCTATATATTTTCAATATGACTATGTGAGTATAAATGGAATATATATGTTATGCATGTAGCTTAGTATATTATGATATTTCTATTCTTCACATATTTAACTCCTTTTTACTAATCTGGACATGAATGTATATATTTCTAATTGTTACACCACTATATATTATATGTTCTTAATTTTTACAAATTTAAAATTAAAATATTTAAACTTATGAAGCTTACGCTTCGCACTTTGAAGCTTATGCCTCACTTTATCAAAGGGTCTAGTACTTCACCTTGCGCTTCAGCTTTTTTAAACATTGGTTCACATTCATTGCTTGAAGATTGATTTATTGACATATGGGATAGTTTGAGGGATTGGATCGAATTGAGATTTTATAGATGTTGAGCTACAAGACTAGCATTGAAAATTGATCTTGAACAGATTTACTCGAGGAGCATATGCTCCTGATTGAGATATAGACTTATCGAGTTTATCTATGATTTTGACCAATACAGAATTTATATTGCATATGTTTGGTTTCAGATTTAATTTAGATTTGATTTGACTTTGGACTTGACCTAATTGTCTAACTTCTAGTTTTTTATTTATTAGGGAAACAATATATTTTGTATTCCGATATTTTGATTAGAGTGGAGAGTTTTGTATCAAGTGTTACTCATAGATATATAAGCTTGTTTTAGCATATTGGTTTAAATTGTGATTCCATAGAATTTGAGCTTGGGGATTGGTTATGAGGTTTGATTTTGATCAGATTTATTTGAGAATCATAATGATGGATGATTTTAAGACCTAGAATCATTAATGGTGGTTGAGGATTGAGATTTGGCTTAGATTTGGACTTTAGACCAAATGAGTATCGTTTAGTTTTCATTTGCTTGGAGATGCAATATGTTTGGTTTCAGATTTAATTTGATTTGAAGTGAGAGTTTTGTGTCAGTGTGAAAGATGTAATGATTTGTGCTTGAGAGTTGTTTTATTTGGGTTGGAGACATAGTTAATCGAATTTATTTGAGGATCGATTTTACCCGTATGTTCGTGATTGATATATAGACTAATTTTCAGGGTATAATATTGCTCATATGTTTTTAAGATTGATAATCATTGATTGGTGTTTGAGGATTGAAATTGATTAAGATATGGACTTATACTAAAAGAGTACCTTCTATTTTTTGTTGCTTAGATATGCAATATACTTCGGCTTCGAGCGTTTTGATATGAGTGGAGAGTTTTGTATCAATGCGTGAAAGATGTTATGATTTGTAACTCGAGAGTTGTTTTATTTAGTTTGAGGATATAGTTGATCAGATTTATTCGATGATAATTTTTTATTGTGGAGGACATAGTTATATTTTCGATGATAGACATGTATAATTGATTTCACTTAGTAAATAGAGCTATAAAAGGATTTTTTTTATTTTTAGCACCAATGATATTAAATAATAGTTGATATTTAATGTTAGTCTGGAGGCATTAATATAACTACGTGGGAGAGTGAGCTCTGCATAGTTGCCTCGTGCATCGTCCTCAAGTCACTTTCCTTTTGTTAGCTAATGGAATTCAAAGAGATAAGTAACCTCACTTCTCTACCTATACTCGTCCAAGTCCTAATTGCATAAGGGACTAAATAACTTTTTGAACGTAATAACTTTCTAAATAAATTAAGTCCTCATAACATCTTGATGCATGTACTTTGCAACGGGGCATGATAAGGTTCTTTTCGCATCAAGCTTAGGTTTAGGCATAAGAGTGGTTTGATTAAGGATGATGAGTTGAAAACTATGTTCAAGTTTGATTTTGGATTGAGAAGTTGTATTTAAGATAGACATAGACATGAAATGACGTTAAGAGATTAAGAGCTAGATTTATTATTTGAGCTAAGAGTTGGCTTAGATTTTGATTGAGATTTAGGATATGTAATATTGAGATAATTGTTATAAACAAGGTGGGGATGTAAAAATTGAGTCGAGTTATTTAAAGTTTAAATTGATTATTTGAAGATCGATTAATTGATATACGAGATTGTTTGAGGATAGTGCCTTGAATTTAGATTTTTTTTATAGATATTGAGCTAGGGAATTCACATTAAGTTTGGATTTTGATTAGATTTATTCAAGAGTCGATTGTACCCAGAAGTTCACGGTGAGGATTTAGAGTAATTTTTAGGATATCATATTTATTTATGGCTTTGAGTGAGAAAATGGAACTAAATGAGCACTTCCTAATTTTGTTTGCTTCAAATTATAGTATAACTTAGATTCTTATATTTTAATTTGAGCGGACAATTTTTTATCGGAGTGAGAAATGTTATGATTTTTATCTTGAGAGGTTTTTTATATTTTGTTTAAGAGCGCTGCTACATGAACCCAAAATATGGGACCAATGGAGGGGACATGTGAGATGTCCCCTCCCTTGGTCCCATATTTTGGATCCTTAAGGTATTTTTCTTTGTTTAAACAGATCGTGGTAGGTTTTTATTTAAAGATATGTATTCTTAAAAGGATCTTGTTATATCATTACGTAGCTTAGGAGTCATAAGGATTGGTTGATTAAGGATAATGATATTTATAATTAGGGCTAGGATTTGATCTTTAACTTAGGCATGAGATTCAGGATTGAAACTAATTTAGGAGGTTGAAAAGTATATTTGGTTTTTAATCTAGGATTTTGCATCCGGATCAGGTCTGGATGAGATTAAATTTTGTAATATTGAGATAATGGTGATAAACAAGGTGAGTGACATAGGAATCGATTCGAGATGTTGATTATTTGAAGTGTGATTTATCGATATATGATTGTATGAGGATATTGGATTGAATTGTGATTTTATGGAAGTTGAGCTTGGTGATTGGTTTTGAGTTTTTATTTTGATCGGATTTATTCGAGGAATGATTTTATTCGTTTATTCTCGATTATACATAAACTAATTCTGAGGATATCAGTTTGATATATAATTTTGAGGTTGTGAATCGTTGATTGTTATTGAAGATAGGGATTCAATTTAGATATAGATTTAGACTAAATAAATACCTTCTACATTCTGTTTGCTTGGAGATGCAATATATTTTTGATAAAGGTACCTTAATTTCAGTGGGAGTTTTTTTATCATAGCGTGAGAGTGTTTATATTGTATATTGAGAGTTTTTCTATTTGGTTTAAGGACATCGTTGATCGAATTTATTCTAGAATCAATTTTATCTGGATGTTCACGTGTGATATATATGTTATTTTTGAGGATGTCAAATTGATCTATAATTATGAGATTGAGAATCATTAATTGTTGGTTGATGATTGAGAGGTTGAGGATTAAATTTTGATTTAGGTTTGGACTTAAGAGTGAATGAACTTTTACTTTCTGTTTGCTTGGAGATGCAATATATTTTGGATTCGGTATTTTGATTTGAGGAGAGAGCTTTTTCAAAGTGTGAAAGATGTTATGATGTGTATCTTGAGAGTTTTTTTATTTGGTTTGGGGACATAATTGATCAGACTTACCCTTATGTCCACGATGGATATATTGATTGGTTTTGAGAATATTAGATTTATTTTTATTTTGAGATTGAGAATCATTGATTGGTGATCAATGATTGAGATTTGAAATTTTATTTAGATTTGGACTTAAGAATAAATGAGGATCATCTAATTTCCTTTTGCTTTGAGATGCAATATGTTTTTAGATTCCAGTACTTTGATTTGATTGGCGAGTTGTTTTTTTATTAGAGCGAGAAAGATATTACAATTTGTATCGTGAGTCATTTTATCTGGATGGAGGACTTATATTTCCAATTTATTTGGGGACCAATTTTATTTGTACATTTCCTATTTATACGATGACTAACTTTGAGTATATTGGTTTGATCAATGATTTGAGGTTTAGAATCATTCCTTGGTCATTGAGGATAGGGATTTGATTTAGA